GTGTGTTTTTTCAGGACCCATCACTTCCACGTCAAGAAGTTGTTTCAATCTAGTTGTGGAGGGCGCAAATGAGTGGCCTATGTGGAAATCAAACCGGCAACCTTGGTGTTATCAGCACTGCGCTCTAACCAATTGAGCTAACCCACCGCCCTAAAATGATTGTTTTTTTGGCATTCTGCTTTTAAGTTAGAAGCAATTACTTTTAAAGAAGGCTGAGAACCCAGATGTTTTCCAGGTTAGAATCTGAATACAAGCCTAATTCATACATGAAAGGACAGAAGCTGTGACATCACCAAGCCACCAAGACAGAGGCCAGGAAAGAAGATGGGAGGCAGGAATCTATTCTCTTTCTTTGAGAAGAACAAGAGCTCAGCCAACAAATGAAAACAGCATAAGCATTAAGTAGGCTGAAAATGGTGAAGAAGTGAGAAGAGGAAAAACCATCTGCTGAGGAACATGGAAAGAAGGGCCAATCTTTGAAAGAAAACAGAGCATGCGCAGTGTACTCTGTGCGGCATACCTTCCGCTTTGTGATAAATAGGGAGACTTTTTATTTAGTCAGAGTAATGATGACATAAACTTTTGGAAACTATGGCAATTAGAAACAGAGAAGGAGAAACACCGATATCACGCTTGATCCTTCCAGGTTTAAATGATCTGTCTTAAGGAATACTGTGGCAAGGAGAAAGGATTACATTAGCTGGAAGCACTGTAAATCAAGTCATTAATTGTAAAAGCACATAAACTCCCCTTCTTGGACCAATTAAGGTACCTTAAATAAAGGCTTCAGAATTCCTGCAGGAAATTTAAAATAAAAATCTGAGCAATTTTCTCAAGATGTAGGTTAGGAAATGTCCAAGTCCCCCTGCCAAGCTGGATCCCACTGAGGGGACGGGTGGAGACGGGAGAAGAGGTTCTGGTGTATGTGCTACCCTGCCTCCTCGGAGAGGGTGCACCTCTAGCTGTTGCTGCTGGCCCACACTGGCCTTCTCTTCCGTTAGTAAGCCACATTCGCATTACCGTGCAACAAGACACATTCATCTGAGTGGGAGGGAATTTAAGTTTCATGAGGCAAAAAAAAAATCTTGGCTTTTAGGTGGCCAGTTTATAAAAATTGAGACTACAGTTATGAAAAGGGTCAAACAGACTTGTTTTGCAAAAGAGAAATTTGAGTTTCTTTCCACAGATTACAGAATAAAGTGAACTGAAAAACACTTCAGAATTCATCAAGTATAACTTCCTCCTTTTTATAACTAGAAAAACTGAGGATCAGAGAAGTTATTTAAATAAGAGCCAAAAGTTAGTTTCAACCTGATATTTAATAGGTTTTATTTCAAAGTACCATTATTATTTTTTAAGCTTTTAAATTAAATTTAAGCAACTGGAAAAGTTCAGAAAGTTATGAGTGAGTCTATAAACACTAGACTACGCAAACCAAGAGAGGCAGATGTCAGGAGGAATCTTGAAAATTCGTCAAAACTGCCTTTCCAAATGTTGTGAAACCTTTAAAGACTCCTGTCTGCATGTCCACCTTGACAAGCTTATATATGTGAATAAAACAAAAATTTTAAAGTTCTGAGATAAATGAGGCTATACTGCCATTTGAATAAAAAATTTACAACTAGGAGAGCACAGCGTTCATTTAAAAGTAATAAAGCCCATGCGCCTTCCCTTCATCTAAGACAGGGTGGACAAATTATGGCCTGGACGCTAGAGGCTGCCGCCACTTGTTTGTGCAAATAAAGTTTTGTTAGAACACAATAAAGTGAGTGTATTCGTTTACATATTGTCTATAGCTGCTTCTACACCAACAAGAGAAGAGTGATATAGTTGCAACAGAGATCATATGGCCCACAAACCCTAAAATATTTACTATCTGGCACTTTAAAGAAAGAGTTTGCTGATTCCTAGTCTAAATAATTGCACAGCGTAATAAAGATTTGAAATTTGGAGTCACAGGACCTGGGCCTGAATCAATGGCAGGTCTGCTACTTGCCAGGCAGCAAACTTGGGGCAAATTATTTAATCTGCTCATGGCTCAGTTTCCTTATCTTTAGCAAATGGGCATAATAATAATCCTTAATTTACTAGGCTGCTGCGAGATTTACATTAATGTAGGGAAAGCACTTATCCCAAGGTAAATCCCAAGGTAAAATCAATCAATAAATAGTAGTTATTAATAATAAAGATAGGAAAGTGAAATCACCTTTATGCTTACAATTTGCCTTATTCAAATGTCTCCTTAAAGAGCAGGGTAAAAGACAAAGCAAGATTAAGTCGTTAATAAACAGATTAAGTTCTATTTCGTTTTGGCTTCTGTAGGACAAAACCAATAATGAATTTTGGGATTGTGAAGCTCTCTTGCTAAAAACTCGGGAATGGTTTTAAATAACGCAATCATATGAAAGGTTCTAGTTTTTTAAGGCTCGACTGTCAAAAACTAAGGTAAAGAAACAAAAATTCTAATTAGAAAGCGGCTGCCTCTAGTACAGTGCCTTAGGCATGAGAGGTACTTAATAAATTTTTGTTGAACTGAATGGCCAACCCCTGCTCCATCCAAGGGCCTCATAACAACGTAGAGAGGCAAACACTTCTTTGCTTCAGGGTTTAAGTGAAAGAATGTTCTTAAATCAATCAACTAAAGGCACATTAATTCATACCTGTCTAAATTTAGCTCTTGCTTCTTTTTCCTTCATTCTTCCATGTGCAACCAAATAGTCAAACACTTCACCTATAATTGAGAGAAATAAAAGTAAGCAGAAGTCCTACTTCTAAGCATTAATTTTCCATAAATTGGTGATGTTTCACTTTTAGCAATGTTCCATTTTTATTTTTAAATATAGGTATAAAGATAAACAGAAACATGTGGAATTTAAACTAAACTAGCCTTAAGTTGAACTACGGGAAAAGTTCATCGACAAAAATCTTTCAGCTAGTGAAAACCCTTGAAATTAGATTCTCTTATGTCTAAATTATACAACTTTTATTTTAAAGATTAATATGCTTTAATAAAAACTTAGCAGTGAAAACTGAAAGTTAAAATGATAAGTTATTTGTGTTAAAAGAAGATATCTTCACTGTAGAATCAGGACAACAAAGCATTTCCTGAATATAGTCATTCATTCAACAAACATTTATGGAGTGTCCACTAACTGCCAGGCGTTGGGGAAAGAGAGCAGTGAACAAAGCAAAGCCGCTTTCCTCAGGGAGTTTAGTCTGGTAGGGGAGACAGAATAAACAAATGAACATACAGGATGTCAGATGATAAGGAGTACTGCAGAGGAAAGCGGGGAAGGAACAGGAAGTGTGTGTATGTGTGTGCTAACACGAGGGAGGATTTTGCTGACTGCTGTGAGCAGAGGAAGGAGGCAGAGGGTGAGCAGAGATGAGAGGGGGCGCGGTCATGAATGAAGTCCTGCAGGCTTCCTTAAGGACTGGGGCACAGCTCTGGGTGAGAGGGGAAGCACAGGGCAACATGAAATGACTGGCCTCTTACAAGGACCACTCGGGCTGCTGGAGAGAGGAGGGCTAGGGCTGGGGAAGGGACAGGGAGACCAACTGGGAGCACTACAACACTCATGTTTAGAATGAGGGCGCTGGGTCCAGGGTGGGGAGCGCAGGAGTGGAGAGAAGTGGGGGATTCAGGACACAGTGTGAACTGAAGGAAAGGCCAGCAGAACACGCGGGCAGACAGCTAGGCGGGAGGTGGTTCCCATGGTATTAATTCCTCAGGAGAGAGGTGACCTTCAGGGAATGTATCAGTAATGCCAACTGCTTATCAATTTGGAATAAAGAAACACCTCTGAAATCAACAGAAAAGAGTATTAACTTAGCAATCAGGTAGAAAATGTGTCTGGGGAAAAATCACGTGTCTAATTCATACAAACAAAAGACAATACCTTCAGCTTAGTGATAGCAGTCAACTAAAATATTTTGATACTTAAAAAAAGCTGCTTCAGAACACAACTTAAATATTTTTGAGGAAAAGGTCATTCTGAATTGTATGTACATTAACATCTCTGACAACTTTTAGCCTTAACTCTGAATAAATTTTTAAATAATGGATAGATATAAGTATTTCAAGTTTTCACTTGATTATACAATTTTTTAAAAGACATTACATGTTGTTAATTTATACTACACAATTCATTTAACTATGATGTTACGAAGTTAAATGTCAGCTCAGTAAAATGTCTGCATTTTCTAAGCAAATGACCTTTGTATTTGCAGGATAGTAGACAATGTCCAAACAAGTGCTTAAAAAGTGAAAACAACTAAAGACATGGCATATCATATGGAAAACAGTTTTGACTTTTTTTTTAATTAACAGATTAAGCACACTAGTTGTAGAGTAACGCAGATAAAAAGTCCAAGTCTGTCAACAGAATTTAAAAATATTTTTATAAATTCAAATGCTATATAAACCTCTTATGAGATTTTGGAACCATAAAGTCACACTCACTGTGTTATAAATCAGGTTCAACCCAGATCTTTTTTTCTTTATTAAAAATATGTTAGTGCTCAGATTAAGCAGCTGATCTGAACCTCTACAGCAGCGGTTCTCAACCTTCCTAATGCCGCGACCCCTTAATACAGTTCCTCATGTTGTGTTGACCCCCAACCATAAAATTATTTTCGTTGCTACTCTATAACTGTAATTTTGCTACTGTTATGAATCGTCATGTAAATATCTTTTTGTTTTCTGATGGTCTTAGGCGACCCCTGTGAAAGGGTCGTTCGACCCCCAAAGGGGTCGCGACCCACAGGTTGAGAACCACTGCTCTACAGGCTATTTATTAGAGAAAAAACAGCCAACAGTGGCTCTCTCCACCCAGGTCAGGGACCGCCGTGCAGTTGATGGAAGGCCACTGGACAGAAAGCCCCTCATTCTAGTTTAGGTCCTGCCACTAGTGATGGAACTGTTGGCACAGAACACCTTTCAGGGCTTGAGTTTCATCTGTAAAAACTACGGAGTTGTCCTGGATGATATCTAAGATTCCTTCCTATTCTAAAATTCTATGGTTCCACCAAAGTGAGAAATACCAGGCTAAGGAGGAGTCGTCAGTTTAATGCAACTGTTGTTCAAAATGGCAGACATATCAACAATAAATGAGGTCCTGGACACTGACAGTCTTTGTTGAGCTGATTAAAACACACAGCCCAGGCCAATAAACCTCCACCAATCGATTAGTGCTGTTATAATGAGCCTCAATGGGGTTGTGCTCCACAATGACTGAGAAACTCAAAGGCATGGAACCTTGCAGATCACACTGCCCACAAGGGGCGCTGGCTGGACTGACCCCACCTCTGTCTTCCCCAAAGCCTATCTTCTTTCTGCTAAAACTGGATGCTTCTCAAATGTTCTTGTTTTGTCCCTATGTAAGAGCAATCTCTATGAGCCTGGTACCTAGAAGGGAAGGGATGGGGACAGAAAGCCATGACCAACTAACAAACGCAGGAGACGGGGGCTCCAGGCCTGGCAGAGTACCACAGTGAGACTCCCAAGCCTCTATTTCCTCAAGGGTAAGAGCCCACCACTCACTCACTGCCTGGCCACAGCACAGAGTCACTGTGAAGGTCAAAGGTGAGACGAGGTAAGAGAAAGCACCAGTGCCTGGCAGAGGCTACACAAATGAAAAGGTTATGAACATTACTCTGTAAGATGAACAGAAAGTACAGAACTCTATACAGATTTCTGGTTCTGCGACTAATTAACTTAAGCTCTTCCTACTACTCTCTCCTCAATTGTGAAAACCTCAACTACATTATAAGCCACACACTTAAAACATGAATCACACGACTAATAATGAATTCGGAGCATGGCAAAGTGGTGTCAGGTATGCCTACGATAACTTATTCTTGCTCACAACAGGCTTACCATCTTTTATTTCATTGGTTAACTCAATGATTCCACTTTTTGTATTCATGTTTTGCAACCTGGATCAAATGCTAATGATAAAACTCTACTGTAACCAAAACAATGTAAGCTATACTGTAGAGTTAAACAGAGTATGTCCCCAGTAGTTTATAACTTCATAAATTCAGTTCAATCCATATTTGTGGAGAATCTGCTATGTCCCAGGCACTGTGCTAGAAGCAGGGAACACGCAAAGATAAGCAGGAAAGCTTCTGACCTCCACAGACAATGCAACTCACACGTGGTCCAGCTACAAGCCTAGCCCAACCTAAACCCTAAACGAGAATCTTTGTAAAAGACAATGGCTATGTACATTCATTTCAGAAAACCATCTACATATAAACAACCTTGTAGGCAAATTGTTACTGGTCCTTAATTTTAAAAGGAAAATCTAACCACATGCACTGTAACTACCACTTCTGGCCTTGGAAAAAGATGGGACACCAGTGACATTAAAATCTTATGAGAAAAAATTATCCAACATACAGCACACATTTACTTCAAACAGGCTAATGCACGTAAAAATACAAATACTTGTAATAAGCTAAATATGGTACATACATAAATATATATACAAAAGAATATGATTCAGCCTTAAAAAGGAAGGAAATCCTGTCATAGGCGACAACATGGATGGACCTTGAGGACATGCTCATTGAAGTAGGCAAATACAAAAGGACAAATACTGTGTGAGTCCACTCATCTAAGTACTAGAGTGGTCAAATACATTGAGACAGAAAGCAGAATGGTGGATGCCAGGGCCTGGGAGGAGGGGAATGGGAAGTTACTGTTTAATGGGGACAGTGTTTAAATTTGGGAAAATGAAGAAGTTCTGGAGATGATGGCGGTGATGGTTGCACAACAATGTGAATGTACTTAATGCAAACAATTGTACACCTGATATGGTTAATGGTAAATTTTGTTATGGATATTTTACCACAGTCAAAAAATAAATCCAAGTACAGTAATACCTTCGTTTGGGAGCATAATTTGTTCTGGAAACAAACTACTCGTATAGCAAGACATCGCTCTTTTACTCAGTTAAAATGTATTAGAAATGTTTGCTCGTCTTGCAGAACCCTCGCCAACCAAGTTACTCGCAGCCCAAGGTTTTACTGTATTTGGATATTATCAATTAAAAATGCTAATAGTAAAATACTCAATAGCACCCCCCAGAACTGCTAACAGTCAGCTTTTCTGATTCTTATCCTACTGTATTATGGCTCTGGATGTTAAAGAGGTCATAATAATTACCCACATGGGCAGTGTGGTTGTGCACTCTTCTAACAGGGAACAAAAACGACATACATAAATTTCTTACCTCCACTTGCATACTCCATGATTAGGTAGAGTGTTTTGTCAGTTTCAATGACTTCAAATAATTTCACTGGGGGAGACGACAGGATACAAGACAAAAAAGAAACAAATGTTTGTATGCATATAACAGGCACATAGGCACTGTGAAAAGCAACGTTTTTCCTGTTAAAGATTTTAATAGCTGGCCCTTTAAAAATTGCTTTTAGGAAATTTATCACACATTACAACCACAGAAAAGATTTCATAAATGCATGGAATTCCATAACAATAAAGATTATTTCTGGGTGCTCAAACGATGATGCACTCGGCAGCCTAGTGAAGTGTCGGTTCTCATTGGCTCTGTCATGGTCCTGTATTATATCGATGGTGGCTAGCTGCCCCTCAGCAGCTCTTCCTTTGCACCTCAGGAAAAGTGTTCCTATCTCGCATCGACCTGCAGGAACTGCTCCGATCTACTCTACTCCTGCAAGTCCATTCACTTGTTATTGTGGCTTTAAAGGATACATATAATTCCACTTGCGACTTTTCTTGCTTGGAAAACTTAAAATTCTCCGAGAACAAGGTTCTATTGTTACTATTCTGAAACCAGAGACAGCAAGAAGTAGAAGAAATACTCTAATTGATAAATTGAAGCCGGCCAAGTGACTCAGTTAAGAGCTCGCTCAAGAGTTTGAGCTCTGAGCAACAGTGGTTCGATGCCCGGCCCAAGCTGAGCTGCCGCTGAGCTGCCAACAGGTGGCAGGATGGCTCAGCTAAAAAAAACAAAACAAAAATTAAAAAAAATAAATTGAAAAGAACTTTTTAAAGAATTATTTTTAATGGGTGTGCCTTTGCTATGCCAGTCACTGTTACAGATAAGTATTTGTTACTGCTGATTCATAAAACCATAACAAATCAGTCAGAAATATGTACATTTTTAAATGAAACAATTTTTTTTAGGATGTGGGAATCGAACTGGTGACCCTATTGCTCAGAGCTCGCACTCTTAACCAACTGAACCACTCGGCCGGCCCCCTGGGAAAACTATTTTAACCCAATAGGAATTTAAATTTTTAGAATTTAAATCTATTATCAAAGATATGTCATTTAATAATAAACAGAGAAAACTCCAATCAAGGTACAACTTAAGTAATTAAAATATAAAATAAATGTATTTAAGTTAGCTAGTTCTAGGCAGTAGTGATAAAGTGTTTTGGGGTGAAGTTGGAATCTGAAATCCAGAGTTAGCTAGCTAACACCAAACGGATGAAATGAAACGTGAAGATGGTTTTCTTCCAACTATTATTTTCCCTATTATTTTTCTTTTCTCCAAACATATATTTTATTGATTCCAAGATGTATATTTTTTTACATCTTAACTAATATCACTGGTAATGGGATGATGGCTTGGTAGCATTGTTTTTTTCTTAGATCGTAAAATAATGCCTTTTACATAACGGTGGCTTAGATTTGATGAAATAGGGTATAAGCTTTTTCTCTCCTGCTGTTCCATTTCATTCTCTTCTTGTGCCCGAAGAATTTCTGATAGGATGTCCTTAACGTCAGACATCACCTCTCCCACTTCCTAGAAATGATTTTTATAGTAAACAGATACAACTGGCTGTCTTAAGAGCTATTTCACTCTTGAAATACTACTTTTAGATTGTAAGAGCTATCACTGTGTAAAAAAAGCAATTATACTATTTTTAAAAAGCTCTACTATGATATATGAGATCAAAAGTTTTCACTGCATTATCTATACAATAGGGTCAGGATTTGGTCCCCCACTTACGATGATGACAGCACCATGCTCCTTCCTCACCTTTAAACCCACCTCTTCACACCTAACCCAGGGCTGTGCACAGATGACACAGAATAAATTGGTGCTGTACAATTCATATGGAAGTAGATAACAAGCATCCTGTATCGTTTAAAATATAATTCAATGTACAAATATTTTCTTAGGAACACAGCTACTACAAAAGGTGTTATAGCTTTGAAAATCTTAACTCTAAAAAAAAAGAAAAAATAAGAAAATCTTAACTATGACTTAATAGAATTCCCTTCTCTCTATCGACGAATTAAAGACAATTATGGTATTTTCTAATATGTCAAAAAATTATATTATAGCCTAATAATAGATGTTTCTACTGCATTAAAGCTTTAAATTCAAATATTTAATACCTAAGCTTTTAACCTGCATTTAGTAATTTCAAAAAGTTAATAAAAATGAGCAACAATTTATTTATTTATATATATATATCTTATTAAAAGTGTACCCGGGGCCGGCTGAGTGGCGCAATGGTTAAGAACTGGCTTGAGATGCCAGAGGGCCCCGGTTCAGATCCCACATATGAGGGCCAGTGACACTGCCCTCAACAGCTAAGATGCTGAACAACAGCTCAACCTGGAGCTGGGCTGCCGTGAGTCGTCGGCGACGGCGTAGGCTGCAGCCCCTGTGGCAGTGGGTTGCCATGGGCTACCGTATGTAGCCAGCAGCCAGCGTGAGCGGCCAGCAGCCGCAGTGAGCGGCCGTCCAGAAGCCGGCGACTGATCTGCCTCTGATCTGCCTCACCAGAGAAGAGCGCAATGATGGTGCCAACTTGGGCCAGTGAAGCAACGTCCTCCACAACTAGACTGAAGAACAAAAGGACAGCAACTTGTCTGTTCCCCTTCCCCCAATTCCCCAATTAAAAAAAAAAAAAAAAAGTGTACCTGGACTGGGAGGAGGGAAGGAATCCCTTATCACAGCTGGAATATATGTTTAGCTTTATGACATACTTTCAAGAATGCATTTATACTCAAAAATATTTAAGAAAGCAGAAAGTACCTATGTTTGGATGATTTAAAATCTTCATTATTCTTACTTCTCTGAAGAGCTAAAAAACAAACACACAATCCCCCCAATACAGGTTAGTAAACATTATACTCCACTGTTGCAATACAATTTAAATTTTCTCTTAGATAACTGATTCTTTGATAATGTTTAGTAGCCCACACCTGAGACTAGCATAAAAGTCCAGGGTAACTATAAAGTAGCTTTATAACCCAGTACTAAGTGCTTCAGTTTTATTTTGTGAAAATCCCAGAGGAGAATGACACCACAATCTCAATTATATTTTGCTGCCTTGAACACAGGAGATCAGGTTTAGGCAAGAATAGTTTGGGAATAACTTACTCTGACTCAGTATCTATCTCAGAACCCAAGGGTTCTAATTCTGCAAATGAAAATGTGTACCATCCCAATGAACTACACATCCTGAGTATATTAGACTGGTAATTCCAAGTAATTCCAGGAGAAGATTTTGAACAAAACCACTCCAGGAAACCCTTGCTGGAGGCAGATCATTTAGCATGGAGGCTATGAGAGACTGTTACATTAACAGCCCTTAGGAGTCCTGCCTCACATGTTTTTTACTGACTGTGTGACTTGCTTTGGCCAAAGGGACATTATCAAATTTGAAGCCAAGCAGCGGCTGGATAAAATGCTGGCGCGTCTGGGCTTGCTCTCTTGGAATGATGTCGCCATGCTAAGAAGGCAGTCTTAACCTCTTCGAGGACGAGAGACTGTACGCAGAGAGACCCGCTGTTTTAGCTGAGTGCAGCCCCTGCCAACTCGCCACCTGAATGCCGCCACAAAAGGGAGAATCAGGGGAGACCGTAAGAAAAACTGCCCAGTCAAGAACAGCAGAGCTGATCACACAGAATAAGAAATATTACACTGTTGTTATATAAACACATGCTGTGAATTCAGAGCAGGGTCAGAGCATTAAGGCCTGGGCTCATATAAGAAGATCTCAGAAAATAACAGAATTTTAGAGGCCATCGTATCCAACCCTCTTGCCAACAAGTGGAAACCAGAAAAAGGAGAAGATCCTCCAAAGTCCTGCTATCTGTCTGTGGGGAATTTGGCCAGAACTAGGTCTCCCAACACATGGCATTCTACCACCCACAGGAGACAAGGGCTGCAAAGAGCTCTGGAAGATGGGGAGCAGCTGACTGTGGAAAGAAGTTGGTGAGAAATCACAGAGCTCTCATTTACTTGTCCTTGCCCACCACGTCTAATCTAGAACTCAATCAGCAGCTAACAATGGAGAGCACATACAGACAGAAAGACAAGGACGCATCAGACCTACGACCTAGCAGACAGGCTGACAGACACGAACACATCTGACCTACAAGCTGAGTGCAGAGCTTCAAAGCCCGGATCAGCAGAACAGCCTTCCTGGCTGGGCTATGGGTCTCTCTAAAGCAGGAGCACTCCTACCACCAATGTGAGCACCTCCGGTCGCTGGTGTGCTCATCCCCACCTTTCATGTTCTGAGACGGGAACACAGCTGCCCTGAAGCATTCGGGCTTGAGTTCTTTCTTATCTCCCTCTGTCGAGCTAACACAGAAGGCCTGTTTCCCACCTGCCATAGTTCAATCTGTAGCTAGAATCTGCACCCCTCAAGTCATTCTCACAACACCTAAATCAGAGAAGTCCCAAGCGGGGTCCCATCCCAACACAGCCTTGGACACTGCATTCGGAATGAAAGCCTGGCATGGCGGCCTCTGCTCACCCCTCCGACCTCAGCTCCAGCCACGCTCCTCCAGCAGCCTCGAACCCTCTCGGATACTGGAATACACAGAGCTCTCTCCTGCCTCAGTCTTTGCTCCTTTTCATCCTTCAAGTCTCAGGCAGATTCTCTGAACACCGTTTCTATTTTCTAAGTAGGTCTCCCTTGTTTTACATCATCGTGTTGTCTGTTCACTTCCTGCCTAGAATGCCTTTCGAGTTATGATGTGTACCTGTTACTATCACTCATGCACAGGTAGCATGTCCGTCTCCTTTCACTGCTGCGTACTTGAAACCGAGCGTGGAACACACAGAAACTCATCTGTTTGCTGAATGTCTGCATGGAAGCACTCCCCACCACATGTGAGAGCCAGCCTCCTCAGCACTCTAATGACCACTGCTTTTCAGTCCCGAGGAGCAGCAGGCTCATCACAGAGTTGTCACAGTGCTGCTGGCAGGAGAGCAGGGCAAATGAAGGCAATCATTTTGCAAATTCCTGCTAGCACTACAGCACTGAAACCAAGTCATTAGAACCAAGGAGCAAGAGGAAGAAGGGCCATTAGGGACAGAGAGTTCAGGCCTGCCTGGGGCAGAGGACACTGTGTCGGTCACTGGACGTGTGAAGGACTTAAGGATGGACATGTACAGCTGACGACAGGCTGTGCGCTCTGTACATATGAGCAAAGACACAGAGGAGTGACTGATGAAACCTACTTAAGGAGGACTGAGTGATCCACGTGGCATAGCAGCATGTTTCCAAGTGTGGGCTCTAGGCCATCTGCATGAGAATCATTAGGGTGCTGGTGCAGACTGCAGGTTCCGGGTCCTGCCTGTCACTAGATGTGAAATGGGCCTTGAGAAACTTTTCAACAAGCACCCCAGGTGTGATGGTCCTTAATTATGTCCATGAATTCCTTGACAATCCTCCCCTCAAACAGTAAAACTTACTATCCCCCCCCCCATTTGAGTGTGGGACACTTAGTGACTTGCTTCTAGGGGATGGAGTAAGGCAGAAGCGACAGGGGGGCCTTAAGAGACTGACTAGCTCGATAAAAGACACTGTGGCTGCCTCCGTGCTCTCATAGATCACTCGTGTGTCACGAGGACATTAAGCACCTCGATTGACAGGCCCAGATGGCAGGGAACTAAGTAAGGCCTCATGCCTGCAGCTGGTGAGGAGCTGCAGTGTCTCGACAGTGGCCAGGTGACAGGGCTCTTTTGGAAGTGGAGCTGCCAGTCCTAACCAAATCTTCCGACGCTTGCAGCTGTGGTCTTACCCCAAACCTCTTGAGAGCACCTGAGCCACCCCGCTAAGTCACTCTCAAATGCACAACACAGAAACTGTGAAATAACATATGGTTCTTTAAAGTTGCCAAGTTTTGGAGTTATTTGTTAGAGAGCAGTAGATAACTACATGCTTCAAACAACATAGGAAAGTCTGAGAACTCCCGAGTCACAGCAGAGATCACGCCAAGGGACACGCTGTGAAAACAGGAACGATGGAGGGATAAGCAATAAATGCTTGATTCCGGAGGCAGACAGAGCAGCCCAAGATCTGCTAGTAGGGCAGTGTCTGAGTATCGCGAAAACAGTGTTACATGTTTACCTCTCAGAGTTACATATCAGGTAGAAATGAGTTCATAAGCGCTACAGAAATTAAGGGGTGGGGGAAGACAAGCTAACAGTTATCAAGTGCCTACTGTGTGGGGGGCACAGCTAGATGCATCACACCTAGGATCACATCTAACTGGATTTTTCCAGCTGTCAGGTGACTGACCATCCATCTCCAACCAGTGGGGAAAGAGGACTGAGAAATTCAAGGAACTTGACCAAGTTTCAGCCAGGTCTAATCTGAGCCGTCTTGACTCCCAAGTCCACCTGCATCCCAGGATTCCATGCAGCCATCATAGAAATGTACAAGTAAAGGAACTGACGAGTTACACTAGAGAGCAACAGGTGGGCTGCACAAGAACTTTTATAAAAGTTGACAACTTTTAAGTGATAAAAATGCCAGTGATTTCTTATATTCATATCTACTGTGAACGTGATGGCTTAAGACAGTTAAAAATTCGGATAGAAATAATTTACTGAAAAGAAAACATGGACTTGAAGAAAAGTCCCTATTAGGATTATACAACATATTTTTAAAATTTTTGTTATTATAAAAGGACATTTAAACAAGAGTCACCTACTTATACTATCTTAATTCAACTTATTTTTCTACATTCCCTTTTAACCTTATGCAATGCTAGTTATAAAAAATGAAATAACACAGAAACGTATAGTCAAAATTCTCTCCTCACTGAGCAATTGTCACATCCTTCTGTCCTCTAGGACCTGGAACATGGGAGGAGAACAAGTACCTCTGAAGGGAAAGATTCGGAATCCTGGCTTTCACAATACCAAAAACATCAGACCTACCGCACCACACAGAAATGTCCTAAGTGTCCCAACAGCCAGGACCTGGGGGCACAGGAATAAACTCTGGGAAACAACAGCTGTACTAATAAGCAATAGAAAAATAAAACGAGCACATAAAAGAGCATGGGGGGCAGGGGCATTATGGACATGATGAAAGTGTTCAGACTCCCTTCCCTGGATAGGCAGGTAGGAGACAAAGCAGCAGGCCAGGATGCTGAGAGCCTGGGCTTCTCATGGCAGCTGAGTGACAGAAATACCAGAAGGAAATATAATGACCACCCTCTTCTTTAACAGGAAATAGCTGTACTGTAAATCCAAGATGAATGAATGAAAATTAGCAGCCTTGCATGAAGAGAAGGGACACAGAGCTATTCAGGGGACGGGGGAGGGAGGCCGAGTGGAAGCTGACAACCATGTTTGTGGATACGGTGCCACTCTGAGACAGAGAAGACATGACAGGCGGCGAAGAAGGGCAGGTGGGGTCTGGTTTGGGACATCCCGTGAGAGACAGTTAAGTGAGGACAGTGAAAACACAGCTTGTATGTGGGTCTGAAGCTCAGGACAGAAATCTGGGCTAGAGATACATCAATCCTGGGCAGAGATGACATCCCTGGAAGGGAATGACACCGCCTAGCTGTGTAAAAGGAAAAGACAGACCCACCAAGGGACAAACATTTCAGAGAGAAGAGTCCACACTGCAGACTCAGAACAGGCAGATAGAATGAAACTGAGACACGGGCATCTAATGCCGACCACAGACCTACACGTGTTTTACAAACAGTTCCCTGGGGCTGGCCGAGTGGCTCAGTTGGTTAAGAGCTCGCTCAAGAGTTTGAGCTCTGAGCAACAGTGGTTCGAGTCCAGCCCGAGCTGAGCAGCCGCTGAGCTGCCAACAGGTAG